TTATAAATTACACAATAAGTTAGAATAAAGAATTTTGAAACATGGAGGTTTTATTTTCATATCCATGAGAAACTTTTATAAAATGACATTTATAAAATGTCTTGATTTAAAAACATTATTTAGTTCTATTGATCCATGTGTCCAGTAAAGGATTTAGAAATATACAAATAAGCATTTGTTACTAAATTCATTTGAGTGGTGCCAGGTGAGTACTGGACTAATTGGGGAGATTACATTGTAGATTATGTGGATGTCTGGCCACTGTGCTGTATACCTGAAACTAATATAATGTTGAATGTCTACTGTAATTGAATAATGAAAAAAATATAGCATAAATCTTTAATATTTCAAAAGAATGGTTGGAGTGGCTGTGGCATTGTAATGAAACAGGTTAAATCTTAGAGAAATATTTTATTGGTACAATCTAAAAGATGTCATGGTTTAGCATGGGGGGAAGAAGGAACCAAAGACAACTATTGGTTTCTGACTTGAGTGATTAGATGTTGATACCATTAATTGAATAAAACCAGTTGTGTCTTCACTCGTTCATTAAGTACATATTAAAGTATCTGAAAAAAGAAATTTAAAGGGTTATTGAATTATGTTCCAGGGTAGTTGAAATCTTTACCTAATCTAAGTAGGTTGCTGGTGCCAATGGTTGGATAGAAATGAAAGAGAAATTTGTAAAGGACCAAGAACACTTTTTTTTTTTTTCAATGAATAGGCTTAACTTTTTTAGACCAGTTTTATTTAGGTTTGCAGGAAAATTGAGCAGGAGGGATAGAAGACATGGATACACACACACACACACACAGTTTCCCCTATTTTTTAATTGCTTTATAAAAAATCGTGATATAGTTGACATATTATATTAGTTCCAGGCATGCAACATAATGATTGTTTCCCCTACTATTAACATCTTGCTTTAGTGTGGTACATTTATTACAATTGTGGAACCAATATTGATACATTATTAACTAAAACTCATTGTTTACATTAGAGTTCACTCTTTGTGTTTTACAGTTCTATGGGTTTTGACAAATGTGAATGTTATTTATTTGCCATTACTGTCATACAGAATAGTTTTACTGTCCTAAAAATACCCTGTGTTCTGTTTATTTATTCCTACCCCCTTCTTGCTCCCTCACCCATGATCCTTTTACTGTCTATAAGTTTTGACTTTCCAAAATGTCATATAGTTGGAATTATACAGTATGTATCCTTTTCTGCATGACTTCTTTCACTTAGCAATATGCATTTAAAACTCCTCCATTTTTTTCATGGCTCGATACCTCATTTCTTTTTATCACTGAATAATATTCCATTTCTGGGTGTGCTACCACAGTGTTTATCCATTCACCTATTAAAGGACATCATGGTTGTTTCCAGGTTGTGGTAATTATTAATAAAGTTGCTATAAACATTCACGTGCAAGTTTTTGTGTATTTAAGTTTTCAACACCTTTGGTCATAATTCATGGATTGTGTATATTAATTGCTGGTATATAGGAAGGCAGTTGACTTTTGTGTGTTAAACTTGTATCCTGCAACCTTGCTCTAATCACTTAATAGTTTCAGGACTTTTTTTGTCAATTTTGTAGGATTTTTTACATATATAATCATCTCGTCTGCAAATAAAGACAGTTTTATTACTTCTTTCTTACTTTGTATACCCTTTCATTTCCTTTTCTTGTCTTACTGTGTTAGCTAGGTCTTCCAGTATGATGTTAACTAGTGGTGATTGGTCCCTTCTGCCTTGTTGCCAGTCATAGTGGGAAAGCCTGGAGTTTCTCACCATTAAGTGTTGTTAGCTGTAGGTCTCTTGCAGACTTCTTTATCAATTTGAAGCAGCTTGCCTCTTCCTAGTTTGCTGAAAGTTTTTGTCATGTCAATAGGTGTCGATTTTGTAAAAAAAAAACACAACCCACTTTATTAGACAGTAATGATCAGAAATGGATGAAAGGCCAATATAGCAAACAAATATAGTATATAAAGGCTTAGGGAGCAATATGTTAATGTTAAAAAGAAATATAAAGAGAGCCCCAGCATATGCCATTTTCATTTGACCAGATTATCTTTAGTTCTCAGAATCTTTCCATTTAGACACAGGCGTTCCTTCCAGGAGCGAATGAAGAAAAATGAGCATTTACAAAAAAATAATTTTCAGAGAAGTTAAGCAAAAGGAAAATAAAAGATGTCACAGGTCTTCGTTTATTTTTCAATTGCCTGGTAGGGACAAAAGTTAGACTGTAGTAAGTTAACTGCTATTACTACTACTAACAACAACCATTATCATCATTATTATTAGAGTAATACTAGCTGAAGTCAATTCTATTTCTTTACCTATATTTGATGTTTATTTTTGTGGTATCCATATCTGTGGAGAGTTTTTGCATCTCCATCCTATTAAAATTCAGCCATATGATTTGCCTTGACCAATGAAATAAGTGAGCAGTGAGCATAAGTGATAAGTGTTGCTTCTTGGCAGAAGCTTCAAGGTTTGTCATGCTCTCTTTTACTTAAATATTGTGTCAAGATGGAGCCTGAGTCTCTGACTGTGATGAACAGATTCCCTTTGCCAGCCTGTGATGAGTATGTAGAGTAAGCTTTTGGTGGTATTCATTGTTGTAGCCTATCTTGACTGATAGACTAGTTAACATACTGAATGTTTACAGTGTGCTGGACTCTTTGCTCAGCACTTTACATAAATTATCTCATGTAGTCATCCTAAGAGCAAAGGTAGTCAATAACCAATAGTGTAGCAAATGCATAATAACAAATTTCATCAATAAGTCTAGACTATCCGCTTGTGAACTTTGGCAATTATAGAATAGAGAAAAATAGCCAGGAAATCAAAGGCAAAACAGGATCAAATAAAAGTTTAAAAACTTGATCTGTGTTATTTAAGAAGCTATTCTAAGTAATATCTGGTTAGACTGTAAAAACATGTTCTTGGTGATACATGGTCTACAGTTTTATCCTTATAGATCACACAGTTTTATCCTTATAGATCACCACTTCTTTTGTTTTATATCTGTGAAATGTGATTGTTTGCAAAGTCCTAATTAAACCTTCTTTCATTTATGAGGCTTTACATAATTCTCACTTAGGGAGATGTGGTGTTAACATTTTAATGTCATACATTTTTGAGCTGATGAAACAGGAAACTTTTCCATGAAATGACCGTGTTAGGTGAGTAGTCTGGTCAGAAATACAACCCTCTTTTTGACAATAATTTGCAGCAAAATAGATGAAAAAGATACTGAGTTTAACAAAGGGAAAAGATTTAATTCATTCTTCATCATGGTTCTCTTTCCTGGAAATCATGGCTTTAAAGTGAATAAGATATTTTTTCCTGAATAGACAAAATTTCCCAATTGAGTTCTTTCCAGTATGGAAGTTACTTCTTTTGTAAGTATTGTTTAGTTAATTATAACTCATTGTACAACTAACGCTTATCTAGAAGTGTTACTAAGCTTCCTAAAATATTATATACCTATATATATGCCTTTATAATGGAAAAGTTGTTTTGATTTTTAAGTTTATCAATAGAAAATTTCATTTACGTTTTTAGATACAATTGAAAAGTTATACAACTTAATTTAGATG